GACAGAAAAAAAGTGGCTGTTAATATTTTCCTGATTAATTAGCTGTTTGCGACACACAGGGCAGTGAAGCACTTGTTTAGATGTTACCTGTGCAAACATAATCATTGCTTTTAACAAATGTATCTCTGTGTAACAGCAGCTCTTCTTTCCAGCCAGAGCACAAATGAAACAAGGCAACTCTGAACTGGAGGAGAAAAATAAATATAGGCTAGTTTGTGTGAGAAACAGCTAGATAACAAAGACCATCAATTATTAAAAGCCTGTCACATGTTTTCTCCGTACACAGGGAAGTGAACGAAGGTGACAGGTGGCTGGATTCATGCTGTGGGGATTTAAATGGCACCAAAACAGCTTGGATGAAAGAGTTAGGTAATCCGGCTCTTACAAAGATGGTGGCTGGTGTATTAAATCTATGCCAATGGACCTGTTGCCCTGAATCAGTCCCTTTAGTGGTGAAAGGACACCAGTCATGTATGGGTGACACAAGGAGGCAGTGTGGCCTACTGGAAAAAGCTTTTTGACCCAGATTCAGGAGACCTAGGTTCTATTCCCTGGCCTGCTGGGTGACCTTGGGCAAGTCACTTCACCCCTCTGTACCTCAGTTTCCCCATCTGTAAACTGGGGATAATGAGACCACCCTCCTTTGTAAAGTGCTTTAAGATCCGCTGATGAAAAGCACTAGATAAAACTAGGTATTATTATTATTCAAAGCTAAAGGAAAGAAGTGTGCCGAGTTGATTCCATGTGTGATCCTTGCCCAATAGAGGATGACAGAATTCCCACTGAAGTGAGGGCCAGTGCAGGAGTGTGTGTGTGAAGGGAGAGAGAGTTCTGAATACTCAACCCCACTAGTTCAACATAAAACATTGTGACCGTCACCTTCCAACTTTACCTCGGGGGAACCGTTTCACTTTTGTCAACACGCCAACGCGCAAGAGAGAGAATCACAAACCCTATCCGGCCAGCGCCACATCTTCCAGCTCTGCTTGAAACCAGGAGATGCCCTGTCAGGAGCTGAGGGTGCGCCCGAGAGCAACAGAAATGTTTCCTGACATCTTTGTTAAAAGCACTGATTTGGACCCTTCAGCTCTGTGTTCAGTGCAAACGTTCCTGCGCGGTCTCAGCTTGCTTCAGTGTTCCCAGGCTGAGTCAGACCCCACACTGCCCCTCTCAGGAGGCAGGTGCAGAAGCCACAGCTCAGGAGGAGGGACCGAGAGAGTGGCTTTCAGCCCCCTTTGTGCCTCCCAGATACTGCCGCCCCCCACGGTTGCCCTAACATATGGCCCCCTGCCCAGGGCTGTCTATGAGTTGCACTGTAGCCCAGAGTATCCAGAGAGCAAGTCACTAGGTCTAGTGGGAGTGGGGGCAGCATAGGGCCATGTGTGTCGGCCCCATGCCGTGGGAATTCTCCCCAGGGCTGTTGAAAAGCCTTTGCTGCCTCTATACGCCAGTGGACCAGTATACAGGAGCCAGTGAAAGGGCTAAAGGTGTCACTGCTGGTGGGATGGAGCAGAGGCCGCGAGGAGGGGAGAGCCCCGGGCCACATCGGCGCCAGGGTTTTGGGAGCACTGACACAGCAAGTCACTCACCAGCAGCCCTGGAGGGATGTTCTGTTTTGTCTGAGCAGCACAGCTGGCCCTGGAGCTGGCAGAACATCCTCTCAGAGCAGCTTTGGGGACGGTGCCATCTAAAGGCACAAAGTGATTTCAGATGTGACTCATAGGAGCAGGCACTGTTTGCCTGTCAACAAGAAGAGACGTAAGTAAGCCCCGTTGTCTCCCTAGGAAGAGAGAGGCACGTCCCCGCGCTGATGTGCACAGCGAGGCCGAAGGGCGGGGCTGGGATACCGTACCTGCCAACAACGCCAACCAGATCTCATCAGGATTGAGACAAACAAGGGTCAAAGCCGCCCAGACGCAGCCTCTACTCGACATTAAAAATTCACCTGCCAAGAAGCCGGCTGCACCATGGCTCCTCGTGTGCTCGTCTGAAGGGAGCAGACTTCTCGTGTGGGATCCTGGCTCCCAGCACAGCACCACCCTCAGTTCTGCTCCTCCCATCCTCGGAGGCCTGGAGCCTCTTCTGAGCACTTCAGACAGCCGGTGCCCTGAACATCTCAAGGGTCCATACGCGGCGGGAACAGGACCTGTGTGCCACAAAAATATCATAGCCAGCCTCTCTGCAACCCCCCCAGCACTGACTGTAGGATCGGTCCCACACCAGCGATACTGTCCCGGATTTAATCACAAACCCCCCAGGATTAGAGCTGTGCCATCCATGATTTAAGGACCAGGCTTTGTTTCAGTTAGATGCCAAAGCTAAGAGAAGCTTGGCAGCAGGGTGACAGCGGCATAGGGCAACACAACCCAGTTTGCATCAGGCCCAGTGGAATGAGCCCATCGTCCTTTGCAGGCCAGTGATCATGCTGACTCTTGGGGAGAGCAAGTCCTGGTATAATTAGTGGCTGATGCTTCCATAAGCTGTGTGATTAACAAGAGCTACCGTCCATGAAGCCAGCTAACGCGGCCTTGCAGCTTTGCCAACACACAGACAAATGAAGCAATTAGAGGAGCATTAGCAGGGGGCTGCAGTAAGGCCATGCTAAGTAGCAGGGCTTTGGGAAGGTCAAGCGGCGCTCACAGAGCGGGCAGCCCCACACCACCATCAGCATTTCCACTAGCCAACCTGCCATTTAACGGTCTTTACAAAGAAGGGGAGCCGGCGGCGTTGTTTTACTCCAGGAGGAGCTGAATTGCATGGAGCGGATGTAGTGATTGGCTGTCAGAGCTCGGATCATTAGCAGAATGTGCTGGGATGCTTGGAAATTCCCACTGACCGACAAAACAATTTGAGAGGAAAAGGTGCAGCGGATGCTAAAGGAGAGTCAGCAAAAAGGTCGGCGAAGCGAAGAGTAGGTCTTCACTGCACACAGGTGTGTTCTTAGCTCAGGTTACCTAACTCGGGTTAAACTAGAAGTGAAGATACGGCAACTTGGCTTTTAACTCAGGTTAGCAGTTCAAGGGGGGCCTAGGGTTGCACCTGAGCTGCTAATCAAGGTAACAACACACCCTTTTTCTGCAGTGAAGACATACTCTAAAAAACAGTGCTAGACCCCAATATCACAAAGAGACAATCGCTGCCCTGAAGGGTTCCTACAATAAGAACTGCTCAGGTTTCAGCCTCTCACTTCTTGCCATGTCCTAGTTCTCCAGTCCTCCATGGAGTCCTCGAGCAAGAATAGCAGAGAGGAGACCTCATGTTCCTAATGTAAGAACGACCAGGAAAAATCCTTTCAGCCATTCTTTATCCATCAAAGAGAAGCAAAAAAGGGGCATAATCCCCGTTTCTTTTTCTTTTGCAGGTCACCTTTAAGGCTGGATCGATTGCAATGGTGTGATCCAGTCAGCTGATTCTGCTGAAGAGGCGTTCCATACCAGCACATGCCACGTCCTCTCCTTTGCTGTAGGGCAGAAGTGTTATGGCAACCCACCGATGTGGCAGAATAAACATGTGTGACGGGTTGGACCTCCCTTCTGGGATGCCACCTAATGTACGGGGATTTCACTGAGCCCCTCCTGCTCAACCAGCCTAGGTCCCCTCTCCCTGCTTTAAAGAATTAGGTTCTCCGGCCTCTTGCAGCACACAGACACAGGTAGGACTGCACCCCGCTGAAGACACAAACTCAAGTCAGCTCTGTGTGAGAGGGCTCCCCCAGCACTCACGTGCCCACCCCTTTTAGGAGACAAACCCAAAATAATACTGTCTTGCACTGTATAGAAAAATCTGCACAGTGCAAACTCATAAAAATCCACCCTCCTCCTCAATGTGAAGAGAGATGTGCACGACTTCTTGCCCCTCCAGTTAGAAATCACATAAACTGGGTTTAATAATAAAACAAAATAAGTTTATTAACTACAAAAGGTAGATTTTAAGTAGTTAAAGGGATAGCAAACAGAACAAAGCTGATTACCTTAGTAAATAAACAAAAGCCGCAAACTGATCTTAACACACTAGATAGGTAGGATACACATTAGCAAATTCTCACCCTGAGTGATAAACAGGCTGGCAGATTTTTAAGGCACTAGCTGCCTTGGCTTTCCCAGGTTTTCTTTCACAGGCTAAAAACCCTTCCAGCCTGGGACCATCACTTCCCACTGTTCAGACTTTGTTCCTCAGGTGATTCCAGGTGTGTTGTTGTAAGGAGAGTGAGGACATCTTGTGTTGTCATTGTCCTTCTTTGATAGCTTCCCCCCTCTTGCTGGAAAGCTTTTTTGCTGTGACCCAGGTCAAACAGTTCCCATTGTGTAGAGCTATCTCTGAGGGGTTTCTATTGCACACCATTCCTGGGGTAATCCTTACACTTGTGTGCATTTCCTCAATAAGCCACTAACATTGTTTGGCCTCATCCAACGTAGCCCATTTGAAATACAGAGACATGGTCAATATTCCCAGCTTCAGATGCAAAAATGATACATGCATACAAATTGGATAAACACATTCAGTAAATTATAGCCCTTCCAATGATATCTTACAAGACCCATCTTGCATAAAGTATATCTTAGTTATACCATATTCATACCGTAACCATATTTCTATGAAGAATATGGGGTGTAACGTCACAACATTATCTTCCCTAAACCTTCATCAGCTGGTCACCCCACCCACTGCCATGTTGAGGTGAAGGGGAGAACAAAGGGCCTAGAATCAGGGTCCTCTCAAACACAGGGAGGAGACCAGACTGCTGTAAAGGAGGGCTGCCCTCAGGATAAATGTGCATGAAGCCTGTTGCTGAAATGCATCAGAAGCAAATCCCTCTTGCAAAGACAACACTTCCCGTGAGAAAACGTATGAGTCATCAGCATGAGCTAGCCTCTAAAGCAGCACAACACGAGTCAAAATGTTTGGGTTCCAGGCCTGGTTTTGCCCTGGGCTGTTCTGTTTCTGCACCCCTCTGTGCCTCCCCATCTATCCAGGTGTAAAGCAGATGCAAAGGTACATACCTACCTGCTTCAGAGGGGACACTGGGAGGATCAATGGTTTTAACTTCTCCAAGATCACCAGCCGAGAGGTGAAACTATATTAGATTGGCAAACGCCTTCCCACCTATTGGCTTTTACTACTCTCCTCCCAGTGTTACAGAAAGACAATGCAATTCTTTGTAGGCCTATTCTGTCTCATTCTAGCAAGGGAGGAGGATCAATCTGGAGTCACAGGCCTTTAAAGTCCCAGCTGTAGCCATTTGGTGAATCAGTGGGTTGTATAAATGCTTGTTTAGTTGCTAAGCATCTGATGAGCAGATGAAATGAGTGGAAAACTAGTGGAGTCAGCAAAAGTACCAATTCACACAAACAAGCGAGCGGACCAGAGAAGAGAGGAATTGGAAGGATGGTAAGTACTGAAGGAGAGGGGCCTTTGCTTTTCTGTGCAGGTTCTAGGACCCCAACACACAGGTGAGTGGATCTGAGACAGTGAATAATGAGCTGTCACTTAGGTCCTTTATCCAAGTGGAATCTACATTCCTGGGATTTGAGAATTGGTGGTAGGGTACCAGAGCCTTTCACAGCAAGCAAAGAGAACAGGAGTAGTTGTGGCACCACTGTTCTGGATCTGCTCTAGGACAGTAGTGACCAAAAGCTGCTGCCTTGCTCTGGTTATTCAGTGGCCCAGGTGTAACGAGTTTGGCCGTGTGTGTCCTGGGCTAGTTCCCAGAAATAACATCCACATCAAAAAACCAACCCAACTGGTCCCTTGCTGGGAGTCTCCGTTAACGTGGGTTGAAGGTGAAGCCCCTGTCTTGATCCCAGAGAAGCAGAACAGGTTGGCGGCAGGATGACGGGATCATCTCTGGATGCCTGCACAGCCAAGGTGCCCCGGCTCTGGGAGGAGGTGGGTTTCCCAGGCTGGCACGGGCACTTGGATATAACAGGCCTGCCTTGTGTTGCTTTCACAGGGCTTTCGGGGCACGCCAGAGCAATGACACCGGATGTGCGGTCTCAGGGCTGTGTGGTGCAGGTGACTCTGTATGGTGCTCTGGTCCTTCTCTGCCTGCTGGGTAATAGCCTGGTTCTCCTAACGGTCCTTGCCATGACTGTGAAGCATGGCACCATGGCTGCCTCTGACCTTCTCCTGGCCAACCTCTCCACCATCAACCTCCTTCTCACAGCGCTGCGGAACACGCTGATCTTCGCAGCTGACCTGGGGCTACAGCTCTCCTTGTCTGCCACTTGGTGTAGGGTCTTCATGTTCACCTGGGTGCTCTTGAGAACTATGAGCACCTGGGCCACTTCCTGCCTGAGCATCTTCCATTGCCGTACCATGAGGAAGCAGCATCCCCTAGGGGCTAGGGAAGCCAGAAGGGCCAGGGACGCAGCTATCGCTGTATCTGCCCTCTGGATGGCGAATGTGTTGTATTCTCTTCCTGCCTTGGTGTATTCCAGCCACGTGGCTGGGAATATCACTCTCTCCCCGATGCTAGTGAGCAGTACCACCAGGCCTTTGCTGGGCTGTACATGGGCTTTCCCTTCCCAGCAGAGCGGGATGGCCTATGTCACGGCTTCCTTAGTCATCCAGGAAACTGTGCCCGTAGTCCTGATGCTGGGCGCCAATGTGTACACCTTGCACAAACTGAAGGGGCACATGAGAGCCATGGGGGCCGAGAATGGGGTGGCCAGGTTTGCCTCTGAGCGGAGAGCTGCCAAGGTCATCCTGGCCCTGGTCATTCTGTTTGTGGGCTGCTGGGGGACCAACACGCTGGCAGTCGGCTACCACAGCTTCACCAGCTGGCCCGCCGCACCCTTCCTGCTTCAGGCTGCAAATTTCTGCGCCTCGCTCTTCTTGGGGATGAGCCCCCTGATAATCCTGGCAGGGCACAGCCAGCTGCGAAGGACGCTCCGGAGAATGATCTGTGCGCGCTAAGAGGATTCCGGGCATAGATGCAACAGGGACACAGGGAGCTGCAAACTCCTGCCAGAAGAAACTCTATCCACTGGATTCGTAACCATCAAAGCTCCCTGTTCTTTACTCATGCAAGGCTCTTATAGAGGACAACAGCCTACTGGCCCGAGTGAGGATTTCAGGATTTGGCCAAGTCTTTATAAGACACATGGATCAGGAATGATTTATTATTAGAGCACTATTAGCTGCTAAGCTGGGTGGTCTTGTGGTGATGGCCCTAAACTGGGACTCAGGAGATCTGATTTCAATTCCTGGCTCTGCTAGACTCCTTGTATGACTGTAGGTAAGTCACTTCCTCTCTCTGTAAATGGGAATCATACTACTTCTTTCTCTTGTCTATTTAGATTGTACGCTCTCTGGAGCAGCAACTGTCTCTTATTTACTTATCATCTAGCACAATGGGGCCCTGATCTCAGTGGGTGTCTAGAGGGTGCTGCCGTAGAAAACCCTAGACACTGTTGTTGGTATGTTTATTTCAGTGGAATTCCCTGTTTGTTTTACACGAATTCTGACTCCTTTCCAAGCTGTGTGTTTTATTGACCAGTTTTAAAAAATAAAACCGTGGAGCCGTCCAAAGCATTTGAGTCCAAATGGTCATTCTGGTTACAACATCTAGTTCAAAGACCCTTCCTCTCGTTTAACGCAGGGAAGGCATTTTACTGCAAAACTGCATTATTCAGCTCCTGCTGCCTCGGTGTATCCTTTAACTTCCCAGTTACAAATCTGGGCACACAGTTCAACTGAAAAGTTGGCCAGGTTGCAGGGGAGGGGAGGAGAGCTAAAATTGGTTATTTCCAGGGTTTGTTTACAAACTAGAACCGTGAGAAAGGGCTGGGAGGCAGTTTGACCAGGACCCTGACCTGCGTGCAGAGGCTGGGTTAGTAAAGACTATTTAGCAACAGAGCCTCTTGCTTAACCACCACCTTTGATTTACTTTAAATGAACAAGTGCCATAACTGATCACACTCAGCCTGATTCTCCCCCGCCTGGTGCAACCCGGGTGTCAAATGTGAGTGAAGTAGCTGGGCAGCATTTCACACCCACTGATATAAATGGCTGCAGAAGGTGCAGGGCGGAGATTCAGCCTCATCCTGTGTCTCCGTCTCCTATGGCTGGGAGCCTCCCTCTGACTTCAATGGCATCAGCCCTCACCTCCCCAACCCCCCATCACGCTGCCTTAAACCCACCACAAGCGGCTGGCTCATGTAACTCACTGGATTTCAATGGGACCTGGACACCATTTGAATATTGCAGCCTGAGCCAAAGCTTGGTGCAATCAATGGGAGTCTTTCCCTGGCTCTCACTGGGTTTTGGATCAGGCCCCAGGCCCTCCCTCCCACAATGCACTGAGGGGAGAAGAAAACAGATATTGTCAAGTGATTTTTTTTAAAGTTGGAGGAGTGCTGACTCAGCTTTTTCAGAGAGCTCATCAGCTCTGTAGGAAGCTTGTGGTCTGGAACACATAATGCTTAATGTCCCATTTAGTAGTTTTCAGTTCTAATCATATGGAGAAAACTGTATCTGCGTTTCCCCCCATCCCCTGGCGAAGAGGCAAAGGAAAATGGATCAGTGAAGCTACCTGGACTGGACTCGAAAGAACCTCTTTGCCTAGGTTAACTCATCTAATCTAGCCCCCTCCGCCAGTGCGACGGAGGATGGAGAAATTTTGCCTTTTCATTCTAGTTCTAGGCTTTGATTGGAGTGGATTGTGTTATCACAGCTGTTCTATAAAGGAATGTGTGTCCAGCCTCCGTCAGCTTCCCCCCTGACTGAAGGCTGAATGACCTTTCGACTCACACCCACCTGTCTTAAACTAAGCTTGTCTTTCTATTAGCTCAACCATATCAGTCTAAAGCCTGACAGGAGACAGAAAAAGCCTATAGAACAGAGTTTTGGCACTGACCGTGCTGTATCCTGGACCTCTCCATCCATACTCATAGTTGCTCCTAATAAAATGGGTTGGATGCACTTCACAATAATAAATAAATAAATAATAATGATCTTTGCCTTTCTGTGGCACCTTTCAGCTCAGGATCTCAAAGCACGGTGCAAACACCAACAAGATAATCCTTCAAAACACTCCTGACTTACACCAGGAAGGAACTTGGCCCAGCGTCCTGCAGCGGAAATCCCTCTGGCTGGAACTCAGTTGAAGTCAAGGAAGTTCCCGCAGGGTGGACATTGGCTCAGCTTGTCTGAGGATTACAATGTCTCCGTCACAGTTTGCTGCGAGGTTGCTGGTAGTACACTGCCCCCAGCTGACTCAATGAGCCCGTGCTTCACAACCGAACACATCACGGGGTGGGCAAAGAAATGGCAGCTCCTCTGTATTGACACTGGAAAATATACACGTAAGAGGACAGATAGTTCTAATCCGCACTAGAACTGTGGGTTTTACGCTACATCCTCAGCTGGGGTAGATCAGCATCGCTCTGTTGAGTTCAGTTGAACTACGCAGATTTATAGCAACTGGGGATACAGCCTGTAGTTTTTTAGAGTAGCACCAGACTTACCGGGTTTGCTTTGCAGGGGCTCGCACACACTTTTTTTTATTGCTTTTGAGCCCTGTGGGCTCTCTCCCACCTCATCTGCCAACACCACACCCCCAATGAACCAGAAACCTCAGTAAAAAGAAGAACAGGAGTACTTGTGGCACCTTAGAGACTAACAAATTTATTAGAGCATAAGCTTTCGTGGAATACAGCCCACTTCTTCGGATGCATATAGAATGGAACATATATTGAGGAGATATATATACACACATACATAATTAATTGGCCTCTCAGAGTTG